GCCACCGTTGCAGCCCAAGAGGGAAGAGGGATGCTCATTTGCTGGTGCGAGAAGGAGCCGCACTTCCATCCATTACGCGGTCCCCTGGGAGTGCTAAATGCAACTTTATCTCTACCACGAATGGACGCTGAGCAGGACATCGCTGGAGGGAGCGAGTGAGTCTTACGCAGCTGGTGTCCAGGCTTAACCTAATCCTTTCTGACACCCTTCGAGGCGGTTCCCTGAGCTCTCCCTGGGGGAAAGAAGGGCCCTTCTGAGGGCGAGAGCCTGGATACTAGCCCCCACCCAAGGGAAACACTGGCCTTTAGAGACCGAGAAGAATGCGGGAGGACAGAAACGCAAACAACTCTGATTTGGGCGCCGGTGTACCTCCAGAGAGCAGGGCGAATCCCAGAGTACCCGAAGCTCCTCTCGGTTTACTCTCCAACGCTTGGAGCTCACCAGTAAACCCAGAGGGGAGGCACCCGGCTTACGGTCAGGAATTCACTGACCAGCAGAGACTCCACTCTTAGCTTACCTCTTTGGACATCGGATCCCTTTTTACCTAGGGGGTCAGACCTTTGCCCAGAATATCTCGCTTCTCCTGGGGCTAGAAATATGAGGGTTGTGGGTACAATTTTCAACCCACTCCCCAGCCAATTGGTTGGAAGTTCATTTAGGGTACATCTGTGTCCGCAGTGATGCTTAGCAAGGTGTTCGTCACAGAGTAAAAATGCTCCACAAAACAATACATGTGAGTAGGAAGGAAGAGAGGCAGATGGGGAGGGCCAGGAGCAAAGCCAGAGAAAGTTCAACAAACCTGGGCTAATGGGGCAAGCAGGAAGATCACTGACAGGTCCCTTTTTTCCCTTAAAAGGAGATGGAGACTGGGCCAGAGGGTTGTATTGTCCTCACACAGAGCTGTAAATCTTGACTTTAGACCATTCTATTTCCTAAGTCAATTGTTTCATCCCTCCCTCGTTTACTTTCTATCTTACCTTACCTTCCTTCCTCAAATGCTTGCTGAGCACCAGTCTGGGCCAAGGCAAGACACTGGAGATAAAATGAGGTATAAAATACGGGTATCTGCCCCCCAGGAGGAGGCAGTCTCTGCCAGTGAGGCAGCTACAGATGGAAGAGGTGTTTATGGTACAGGTGTGACATGTACAGTGAGATGGAGTTATAGAGAAATATGGGGTGGGGATGATGCTTGGAGAATTATCCTACCATAGCCCTGCTGGGCCTTAGCCCCCAGCTAGAGAGTGGGACACGGTGGTGAATCTAGAGGCAGTTCCTTAGACCTCATCCAGCCTTCCCCTACTTACCCCAAGGCAGTGAAAGGAAAGGTGGTGGACCAGGGCTCAGCCCACCAACATGTCCCTGCTTTGTTTTCCCAGTTTGGCAAGCGCGGTAACTAGTTGGCTCCTCCCTGTACTAATGATGCCCGAATGGGGTCTGAGCCTTGGCACAGATTTCTGGGCAGGTACCCCCCCCCTTCTTCTTGTTTAATGACCAACATATAT